CTAACGATCATAAGCAGGATACTGTAAAATTATGAAAGAAATGGTTCGCTCCCCACACCGGAGCTCGCGCTATTCCGCTGACTTGACTTGACACTTGACTGACTCACGACTTCCGTCCAGAGAACACGAGAAGTCCACCGAACCTTCGACTCAGCAAACCTGCAAAAAAGCACCACTCCCTGCTCAATCCACAGTGTTTCGGGGAATTCACCCCTCATCAGCTGAGCTTGAGTAGGCTGAGGAAGATTGTGCCTGAAGAGCACCACTTATAATAGTGCTCTCCAGGCACAACCATCACCAGGGATACAAACTTACAGAGACGCTGCGTTTCCAGCGCGACAAACACCTCGTGAACACCAGATAGCAGCGTTAGTCAGTGTCGCGCTTGGACGGTGAGAACAGACGTCGCCCTTGGTCATTCACAACGCTGTCACCTCCAAACCAGCTAGTCGCAAGCCCGCGCTGGGCACAACAGTACGAAATAGTGGTTGCGACTTCGGCGATGGTTTGTAAGAAAGGGTTCGCTCCCCACACCGGAGCTCGCGCTATTCCGCCGAAGCTTCCCTTTCATTTCCTGTTCGTACTCAACACTTGATAAACTTGAGCCTCCCAAGTTGGGTGGTTGTTGCTTTGCGTTGTCGAATTGTGGTTAGACCGTATTATCCAATGGTCTTGCCGTCCCGGTATCGTACCAACTTCCGGCCAGCATTCCATTGTGCTTACAATTCGTCCTCGCGATGGTTCCCTTTCATTTCCTCTTCGTACTCAACACGTGATAAAATTGAGCCTCCCAAGTTGGGTGGTTGTTGCTTTGGGTTGGAATAATCACTAATATCCATAAACCTTCCAAGTTTGGAAGGCCGTTGGTTAGCGCTATCGAGCAGCCTTGCCGTGGAATGTCTCAGTACTCCTTGTCAGTCTGGTGCTACCGACTACCGTGTGCACGTCTGACTGTGTAAAAATCTGGTTTAGTTGGTAGACTCTATCTAGCGCATGCTAGTACTTATTGCTACTAATTTACTAGTAACTTGTGCCCCACCGTTTTCTTTGTTTCCAGTAAATATATACAGTAATAGGAACATCCAATTAGAAAAGGGTGCTACCACAGTACAGTAGTATAGATTTCCTTGCGGCTCACAAAGGCAATTGCGTGAAACAGTGAAGTAAGAACCAAAGCAAGAAAAAAAAGACACCCCAGATTCGTTGCCTTCCTTGCTTCTACAAGTGTTGTACATGTACATAACTGTACATAATTGTTAGATTGACAGCATGAAACAAGGAGGAGGACACTGTGTTCGAAAACAGTGACCTTACTACAACCTTCCGCGGTGTGCAGAGCCCCGGTCCCTGCGGACCATTTGAACCATAATGGGTATCGCACCCGGTTCTGACCCTCATTATGCTAGGGGGTTATTTATTTTATTTATTACAGCATCTCATAGCACAGTGAGAACACCGGCCAATACAAAGAGAGAGGGTGTTAGCCAACCACGGCAAATGAGACTACTCCTGAAAGTCCTGATGTCGTCTTGTTGTCTTCGCTCTTTTTTTTCTTTTTCTTTCCAACTTCTGCCCATGGACGCCATGGCCAGAAGTCGGAAAGAAAAAGAAAAAGAAGTGTTTATACAAGTTAAAAAAGAGCGAAGACAACAAGACGACATCAGGAGTAGTCTCCTAACCCCCTAGCATAATGAGGGTCAGAACCGGGTGCGACACCCATTATGGTTCAAATGGTCCGCAGGGACCAGGGCTCTGCCAACCGCGGAAGGTTGTAGTAAGGTCACTGTTTTCGAACACAGTGTCCTCCTCCTTGTTTCATGCTGTCAATAGCCCTTGGCGGATTATGCCGGCATAATATTTGGCAAAATCTTGGGATTTCGTCAAAAAATTATGCTCCGGCATTATATGGATTCCAACGTGTAGGTCGGCATAATCTTTCGGTTTAGACCAGGGAGTCGTAAAAGTATTTTACGACTCCCTGGTTTAGACAAAAATTATGCTTAGGGGCATATTAAATACAGCGTTGTCAGAAAGCCTGCAGATGTTTTTTTTTGAATACCCCAGTTACGACTCCTTGTCATAGCCCTCGGCGGATTATGCCGGCATAATAATAATAAACACAACTTGCATCTTCCCTGAACCTGTTAGACAGGAGCAGAGTCGACGCATCTGTCAACAGTGTCAAGCCAAGTAAGTTAGTCTATCTCCTGCAGCTTGGAGAGCGCTCTCCACGGAGAGATCCGCTGCCTTCAGGTCGTGCCGAATCGTATCTATCCACCGCAATGGCGGACGGCCAGGTTTTTTTTATGCCGTTTGTGTTGATTGATAGCTCCAGTGCTTGGAACGAGGCGGATTCCGGACCCTCTCGCACCACATGGCCAAACCACAGCAGCCTGCGTCGCCGGCATATGGCACTAACTGGAGATTGTTTTGTTTCTGTGTATAAGTATTAGTTGTTATTGGCGATGCGTTGCGGGTAGACAATCTGCAGCAGTACGCGTAGCTTCCTCCGTTGCCATTTGTCCAGTTTGTCGTTCAGCAATTTGGACAGAGTCCACAATCCGCAATTGTATAGAAGGATCGGCATTATGCCGGCATAATATTTGGAATAATCTTGGGATTTCGTCAAAAATTATGCTCCAGCATTATACGGATTCCAACGTGAAAGGTCGGCATAATCTTTCGGTTTAGACAAAAAATATGCTTAGGGCATGGCCGTGTGTGTATGCGTGGTTTCTCAATCCTCTATGTACAGCGTGAATACATAGTGGAACCGAGCATAATTCAGCATAATTCAGCATATTTGTTGGCATAATTGTGGCATAATCAAAAGCATAATTTGACGATTGGCCGAGCATAGTCCGCCGATGGCTAGCTGTCAATCTAACAATTGCGTGGACTACAACAAGGTTTATCTAATACTGGTTTTGAACCAGTGTTGGATTATATCATGACTGTACATGTGGTACATGTATGTTTATTTATTATTATTTTTATTTATTTATTACAGCTTCTCATAGCACAGTGAGAACACCGGCCAATACAGCCAACCACGGCAAGGAAGGGAGAAGGGGAGGAGAAGAAAAAAGGAACCGGCATGGATAAGCATGGATAAACAGTGATTGCAACAATTGCAACAAAATGAGAAACACAAAATCAAAGTCAAGGTGCGACAAGGCTCTTAGAAAGGCGGAGGGAAGAAAGGTCCTTAGCTTCTTGGGGAAGTGCCAGCCACGCAGAGTACGCAGTGAAAAAGGGAGAGTGAAGTGGAAAGGAGGACTTAGGTTTCGGAAGGGAAAGGGAGTTTCTCGTGCTACGGGAAGAGAACCAGTTGAAACAGTGGAGGTGAGGTGGACACAGATTGAGTTTGAGAGAATGGATAAGGGTGACAAGATGTGAATTACGTCTCTTAGACAAAGGGGTAGTGTCAGCAAGGGCATAAAGGGTGGAAGATGGGAGCATGCGGGGTTTTCGGAGGAGGATTTTGAGAACTTTTTTGTGGTGAATTACGAGCTTGGCAGCACGGGTTGTGGAAATTCCAGCCCAAGCAGTATCTGCATAATCAAAAATGGGGCGTAGGTAAGCTGAGTAAAAGAGGAGTTTACCAGAGATTGGGAGATGGTAACAGTGAGAAGAGAGGATTCCTAAAGATGAACAAGTTAAGTCAGCCTGCATGTGAATGCTGTACGTAGACCATGGTACACTGTTCTACCATAATTATTTTTGTTTTATAAGTAGTCTACCCAAGTCCTGCCAAAACACTTTTCAAATCTGCGAACACTGAGCGGGCATGGCACTAGTGCACTGGGCAATTATTGGGGCATGGGATGCACTGATGCACGTGTGCTCTCAGTTCTTGACGCCACATGCGTTTCCATTAATTTTCAGAAGGAGGTATTGCCTCTGTGTCAGTGTCTCAGTGAGCTGGGTAAGCGGGCGAGGGTGTATGGCTAGAGGCTATCCTGGTGTTCGCCAGGAGGCGACGACTACTTATTGTCTTGTACATGGAGCAGTGGTATTGGCCTACAACTTACAAGTAACAGTTCGATAAACAGTGTTACTTCCTGTGTAGCTGTTGTTCCTTATCACGAATATGAGGCATTCACTTGGCAGGTGGGATGCCGTAGACTGAGCTGGTTGCAACTCGCAAACTGACGCTTGGTGCTCGGACGAACACCCTTATCGGACATCGGTGTCCGCAGGGGTCCAAGACTTTGGGAATGTTTGTGCACGGACGATGATTACAAAGCGGAGTGGCCCATGGCCATGACTAGCCTCAGCAGTCATGTACTGATGTAGACTCTACAATCATGACGCAGATGATACACTGTAGCCTCATCAACAGCTACGGATCGATGATACAGGTAGCATTTTCTTGAGTTTTGACCATTGAGTTTTGACCATCACGGGTATCCGTGTATTGTTATTTGACAGGCAGCAATGCGCTTCGGCGAGACTACACAATGTCATGTAGACGACATCAAGAGTGCATTAGCACATCATTTTTATGTAATTTATGTCTAGAGACCTCTCGATCTCACCAATCAGTAGTAGCTGTACAAAGAAACAGACCGAGCATGTCTTCCGGAGCTCAATGGACAGACTGCAGTGGAAGGTCCGAGGGTATCGTGTGGTTTCGTGCCTATTGTAAAGAACGAAAGTAGCCGTCCTGCAGCCACTTGTGGGACCACTTTACGAGCGAGCTGAACCACGTGGGGAGAATCCTCTTTGCTCTCCGCCGCGAGGCCACCAAATGCGACCAGAGCTGAGAAGCCCCAACGCACGTGTAGCAAAGACTAGGCAGAGGCATAACACACTCAGCAAACCACTTACTCACTGTTACTTGTGTTAGTTCGTAAGCCACGGTCGACGCACCGAGCAGTAGCACTGTGTAGCAGTAGCACCGGGTGTACTGTAGTGTAGATCTACCCAACGGTGTGGCGCGTAGATCTCCGAAAATCGCAAGTCGTCAATCCACAGCGCGAGACATGTCACCCTCGATTGGCGTATTTTGTCGGAAGTCAAGCTTGTATTGTGCGCACCACTGTATCGATCCTGCGGGATTTAGTTCTCCTCACTGCAGCTTGCACAATCGAATTGTCCAAAACAGTAGTAAGATTCTCCTTGCGGTGCACGGCGAGGGATTTCCTCGCGACCTGCCACGAGTAGGAGATGCATTGCTGATGATGGCGCCGGGTTTACACCTCCTGAAGGCTCTCTGCAGTGACAGGCGCGTGTGTGGCAGCCGATGACGAGTTTCGACACTACATGCAGACCAACTACAGCGCTGGTAGCGCAGTTACTGGAGCGACAAGTTTTTGTTTCCGTTTGCTCCCCGCAGCGCATTTAGCCGATGGACCGAGTTGTATCCGGCATGGGTAAAGGGAAAGCGAACGCACCGGTCCGCCTGGATTGCGACAATCGGCAGGCTCGTCGACTGTCGTCTAGCGTCCGCTGGCCAGGCCGTTTGCTTCTAACATACCTACTACTAGTGGCTCTGCACTGGCCCGCAACAGGTAAGCCGATCTCGATATTGCTACCCGTTGCGGCTGGCTAAGCATTGCATGTGCCCTTCGGCCTCGTATCGTATGTGCAACATGGTGTTGATGGTCTGCTGATGCGGGAATGAACTTTCGCACAGGCACCCGCACAGTCGACTAGTCAGTAGATCTACCCGGCCCCCTAATCATTACATTAATTTTTGTGTTCCCAAACAGTGCTTTAGGCCTAAGTGACAGCCACGGCTTGACTACGTCCTTGGGCACAAACCATCATGCAAGGGATTCACTTCCACAATGCGGACATGACTCGAAAGGCGGATGACGGTCGTTCTTCAGTAGATCTACTCGGCAGTTTAGGTTTAGAAAAGGGAATTGCTAGTACTACAGTAGTAGTCAGAGTGGCTGGGAAACGTATACAATGCAGGTGCATGATTGTATAGCTATAGACTGCAGAATGATCTGCGCGTAGAGTGTACTCGACTACTACTACTACTACTACTACTACTAGTAGTACTTGGTCTCATGATATGCATTGGATGGAGTGCAAGTAATCGCCTGGCTAGCACTGGTTTCCTACTGCATATGCATACAGCGCCCACCCACATCAGTAACAGAATGATAATAATATTATAATGCTATCCCTTCAACCCATGCTAGTCTCCAGTGTATGCTGCCTAACCAATATCTAGCCCTGGTTCCAGCAGCTAAGGGCAGCATTTGCACTGCGACCTTTTTTAAAAGTTTTTTTGCAACTATAACTGCTCCAATTCTAGGTACGCCAGGCCATTCCATCATTGGCAGTTCAGTTCAGAGAGCCCGGTGTTTTAGCAAAACAGCAGTGCAGATTCTGTGCCTATACTCACATGCGTATGCGTGGTCTGTATGCAGTATTCCTTCTAAGCCTGTGCAAACAGTGCAGATACATGTCTGTTCAGGGGCGTCAGAATGTCATAATTCTTCATTGGTACGAACATGAAAAGGCAGGGGGTCCTGGGGCCCTGCCCCCCACCCTCGGAAATGCGAGGAAAATTAGACCCAAATAGCCCTTATTTCATTGGTTCAGAAATCACAGAATACGGGTGCGGATTTGGCCGCACCTGCCGCACCGGTTCTGACGCCCCTGGTGTTACTCAGCGAAAGTATTGTGGAGAATACTAAAATGCACTTCAGCATAAGGTGGTGTCACTTCCAAGAGTGAACCAATGCTCATGCGCAATCCATTCCCTTCAGGCGAGCCAACTCACATCTCCTTTACAGTCCAGTACAGCTAGTTGTTGAGGCACAGACTAACTTGTGACACAGCCAAGCCATGTGGCGTGACCATGGTGACGCCGGCTGCCCTTGCCATGGATACGGACGGTCATGCATGATTGACTGCATGTTGGAGCTGGATATATACAGTACCATGATACACAGTGTAGTAGTAATGTGCTGGCAGGTGTCCCGGTCACACTCCATATGGGCGTCAGTGCTGGATGGACCATGCAGGCACAGAGGGCAATGCACTGCACTGCACTGGCTGCAGTATTACTATGCACACCCTAATAGCAACACTGGGTCATGATGCAAAGGAACAGGTGGTCTTGCTCAGTTTTCACATCCATTGACCAACTTACTTCCTACTAGAGTATCAATTGATGCCATCAAACTAGAACCTCATGTACTGTACCAGGTGTACCCTGTATGGAGTCTAAATTTAATTTTTATTGTGTAGTCTAGGAACTTAACGCAGTCATAAAGGCAAATATTTGAACACACCACAACGGGTAGAATCACGACAGAACACACAGCTGTCGTACAGCATAGGTGGTAGTCGATGGGAAATGAGCCACGGGCACTGCAGAATCTTGTTACAGTTGTATATTAGTTTTGTCTGTCATGTGTTTTCTGGGCTATGGCCTATGCCTGCTATGGCCATGGGTCTCTGGATGAGATTATGATTCTCTTGACTGATACACAGAACAGACAAGCAGCATGCAGACCGTTGATTACTGCAACCAGCCAATACTCTCCGTGATTTAGACTACCCTCTCAGCTACCCCTCTTGTCCTTAGCACTTGAAGACTCACCGTACGCTAATGAACACTTAATGTGTCCCATTGGCACCTCAAGAGGCTTGGGTTGCAGACCTAGAGTCGGCTAGAGTAAAGATGCAGCTCCTGATATGATAGGGGCTTGATGTTGCTACGGATATTCTACGCTCAAGGTGTGGCCTGTGTATGCAAATCTGAGTGGTAATGCCGGGTTCAACAGTGGTTGTGTTACCTAGCTCCTACCTGAGTCCCCAGATTTTCCCCATGTCCTTGGTGGTATACGAGGTTCTTGGTGACGTGATTTCTTTGATTGAATTCTCCATGTGTGAAACTACTTCGGAGTAGTGACTTTTTCAAGTGCTCTGTCTTCTGGACTTGTACTGCCAGTGTATATGTGTGTAACTATAGATTATCGGCATGAACAGTACACTCTTGTCGTGGGTGCAAGAGCGCTGCATTTCATTAGCTGGGCAGCAGTTCGGTTGTGGAGTTGTGGTTTGCGGCTAAAGTCCTACACAGCTGGCTATGCATGCAACAGTGAGCTGGAGAAATTCCCAAACAAAAATAATTATGGTGCAGAGCATGAGAAAAGGGTGGTCACTGGTAAGGGTCAAGTTTGAGGTTTTCAGTTAGGCCATGGTAAAAAATATCTTTGATTCTCAAGTACGCGCGCATCGATTTTTGGTGGCGCACGGACGATTTTTTTTATTTCTATGCATGCATATGCGTGCATGAAAACGGTCAATGCGAAAGGCATGAATCCGGGAGTAGTAAAATACCGGTATTTTTCTACTCCCTGGCCTGAATAATAAAATAAATATAAATTAATTATGAACCTGTGACGTACACATGTGTGACCCTATCTTTGGAAATAAAAAAATTGTGGGAATTAAAATAAAAAATCGCTCGCTCGCACCGATTTTCACAGGCTCATGACCTGAGAATCAACTTTATTTTTTACCATGGCCTTATCATGCCCTTGTGGTAGCTAGCCCCTTCAGCTTTTATTTAAAAAAAAACACCTGATGGAAATTTGTCAGCAAATGATGCTGTGGCGGTGGTTTTTGTGCGCGGTCTTTAGCCAAAAGATGTTGGCAAGTTCAAGGTTCAAATGCATTTTCCTCCTTTTTCAGTCAAGTGCAGCTAAGGCCCCTTTTCACATGCTCTGCACCATGATCATTCCTGACCGGTTTGTGCAGAGAGCTGTGGTTCATCAGAGAATACAAATTACTTGTGTGTGTGTGTGATTCATGGATTAGGGGGGGGGGGGGGATTTGACATGCCCCTCCCCCCGAAGCCCGTGCACACGGAAGAACCCCAACCTGTCCACTGTGTCTTCAATGCTAGTTCAATACTAGTAGTGAAACCTGGTTAAGAAGAACACTGATAAGACAAACGTTCGCTTTAGAAGAACTAGTATCCATAACCGTATTGGATAAAACACTGTTTATTCACCGGGAATAACATATGGATAAGAAGAACTCCCGTTATTGCAAACAAATACCACCGGTCCCTTAGTGTTCATCCTAAAGAATTTGACTGTACAATCAACTTTGCTAATAACGACTGCGGATATAACGACAATTCGCGAATAACGACAGAATTTCCATGCCCAGAGCAAAGTCCCACCCCACTGTAATACATATAATGAGACTTCGGGTATAACGACACTTTGCGAATAAGGACACTTTTCTGATGCCCGCCGAGTGTGGTTATACGCAACGTTGACTGTACTACTAGATATTCGTACCGGCTATGCTCAGTATGCTGGGATGCGAAGACCGTTGATCTCACACACACGTCCAGCCTGGACAACCCATAATAACATATCTTAGCTGTACTCAAAAAATAATTGCAACCTGAAGACTTTTACGGTTTAGTTAGCTAGTCAGTCAGCATGTGACTCCCGAAGTGTTTTTGGAACTACGAGTCGAGCGTACGCTACAGAGTGCCTGGATTAAACGGACTACTTTCCAGTGGGTGGTCTGGAAAAGATTTGCGTAAAAACAAGATTGACTGCTGGTCCATCCATGTACCGCGTCATTGATGTATGTTATGTGTGCCTGGTTTGCCATGTGTTTTGCTGTGTGTTTCAGGCATGGCAGCCTTGCAGTGCAGCCAGTGCAGCAATTGTACGTTGCCGCAGGAGATTGTCAGGAACCACGTTTGCCCGACTGCCGGTTCGCTGTGCACGGCAGTTGTAGACCTGACGGCCAGAACTAGCGACGGAGAGACCGACCTGTCGTGGACGCTGACTGAGCTAGGGTGTGCTGGTGGCGGTGGCGGCGCTCTTCCAGTGCGGTGCGACATCCAGCTCAACGGCTCCTCCGTTGCAGATGACATGCTGACTTGCCAGGATTCCGCTTGCACACCCAGTGCACTGTCGGCGGAGACCATGCTGGCCCTGCGCGCAGGTCAAACGCAGCTGAGAGTGTGTTGCGCCAGCGACAATTGCAACGAGCGACTGGCACTGGAAATGCTGGCACTAGGACAAGCGGCAAACACTATACTGCAGATCCATGCCAGTAAGTTCTGCAGGGCCGGGGAGATGGTTCAGGACAGGCTCAGGGGAGGAGAAGAAGGGGAGGACAGGCTCAAGGACGGGGTGACGGGAGGGGGGGGGGGGGGTGACCAGCTCCGTGGTGGGAGGAGTGGGGGCAGGACAGGCCGGGGAGGGGAGGGAGGGTAGGGCAGGGTCCGTGGCTGTGGGCCGTAGGCTGAGTAACGTTACTGAGTCGTCATCATCCTGAAAGGTCTTGCTGCCAAAGAACACCCCATCCAGTCTAGCTCTAATCCACTTTGCCTCGCTTTGTTTTGTGTTCCCTGCTAATCTACTGTAGACGCCGCTCCGACTATCGTGATCCGTAGAGAATCCAGATTCACCATCAAGACGTTGTACATCTGCCTGGCAACCGTGAGTGGTGTGCTTCTGTTGATGGTGCTCTTCTTCACCGCGTACATCTGGTATGACGGACAGCGGCGAGTGAGACATCGACGCAAGGGACGGATGGGGCTGGAACGGAAACCTTCGACGGCCGCCTCAGAGCGTGTCGTTATCCGCCAGAGGAGCTGCTCCCCGCAGGCGACGTTCAGTCGAGGGTCGCCTGTGCGTACGCACCTGTGCACGCACAACCACGGCACGAGCAGGCAGAGCAGCTTCCGGCGGAGCACGGTCACGGTGGACCGAACATCGCGCCTACTGGCCGAGAGCGTGGCGACGCTCACGCACGAGAGCAGCAGTCCCGACTCGACGACGGCTCACTACCAGGCCGCGGCAGCCCACGCGCAGAGCAGCAATGGTCGACCAGTCAGTATTGTGTCAGTGCAGCCCAGTCAACAGCTGACAGCAGCCAACTATCAGCAAAGCAGCAATGGTGTCCAAGAACGACTGCCCAGCCCGCCGAGCCCTATCATGATTGCAAGCACGTCCACTGCAGCCGATTCCGCCAGCTCAGCACAGATTTCACATTCGAGACCGCCACCTCAGCTACATATAGATAACTCGTACATGACCCCCAATGGTCATTCTGCTGCCGAGACCCCTGAATCAATTAGTGTGGATGTGAAGCAGCGGCGGACAATCTCGCTCAGCCGCAAGCGGACGCCAACAGCCCATCGTCTTACCAGGGACATGAATGGTGAAGCCGTGCCAGTCAAGATGGCATCCCTATCCGTAGCATCGCAAGCTGAACAGAACAACTCGTTCAACAACCCAACAGTTGACAATCCGGAGGAGCCTGAAAAGCGGCCATCGACGGTCAGCGACAAGCTGCGACGGCTCGGCTTCGATCACATTCCGTCGCTCGACCAGGTCTGCCAGTCGCAGCAGAACGGCAGGGACGCTTCAAGCCCCGAGCTGTCCGACGTCGTGTCCGAAGAAGATCACCCAGCCACGCAGCCGACCTGTAGCGTGTCAACGTTCTCCGCCAAACCCAACGGTCACTGTCCGCCTGCGTCCTCAACTTTTTCCAACCACCACGCCGAGTTGCCAGACATGGAGCGGAGGAGACGAAAGAGAAACTTGGCAGACGCCTCAATGACAGTTGTATAGCTGCAGACCACCTAGTAACTCCTGTTCTTGAACCAACGGCAGGATGCTGGCCGATGGCGATGTCATAGCAGCAAAGCCTGTTGCATATCAGGCATTCGGTGCGGAATTTGTGGCGTACTCGTACAATTGTCCAGCAGTACTTGAACAGATCGGGAATTTCCATGATGCATCAAGTGTATGGGTATGGTCTTGGGCGTCGGTCACCTAGAGCCGGCAAATTGGAAGCAATTCCAGTCCTTCACCGACCAGAATACCATCCCGCCCCTGCTTGATTGCTTCATTCGGATGATGTCGAGCTCACGAATATCATCACCACAATCTGACTGGTGTTAATGAATCCCAGTCACATCACTCGCTGTGGTGGCGGGGGTGGGGGAGAGATGCCCAGTGATATCTTGGTACGATGTTCGAACAGAATTATGACTATAAATTGGTTATATTTGTCTTTATATGAATTGAGTGAGTGCATGGGAACATACCGATAATTGCTAATACTAATAATTTTTTGCAGCCTCATGTATAATATGTTGATTGTACCGGCTTTGTAAGGACCCCCAGGGACAACAAGACAAGAGGTCCTTTTAGACACCAACCGCCAGCTAGGCACGGTGAAATGTCGTGTAAAATACCATTGCAACTGCATGTATTGTATATGCATACACTAGTGTCACCATCAATATGGCACTGTCGAGAATCTGCTGATAATAATTGTTCAAAGTTATATACGCAACTCTCAGAATACAAGTCTAAAAACATACGAAAATACAAGAAGTAATTGTAAAACTCCCCAATTCGACGCCGTAAAACAATAATACATTTTCTCCATGCCTAAATATCGCCATTGTAGGCTAAGGTTTGCTAACATATAATTTTAAAGGCAAATGGCTTAGTTTCTTCAAGTGCAAATGGCTTAGTTCATGTAAAAATAATAAATTTTCTTGCTGGTTTCGAATACTTGGTTCTTTGTCCTTGAAGGAGTTGAGATTTTTATCACATAAATTCGTATTGAATGCACAATTGCATATAATTATACTGCAGACTGAGTGATGTATGGATTATGTACAGCATATGCATGGTAAGGTCTTTGTGTGTGTGTGTGTGTGTGTGTGTGTGTGTGTTTGTTTGTGTCCGGCCATGCATGCGTGTGAGCATGAGTGCGTGCGTGTGCGTCTGTGATATTGGTTGCACCCATACTTGGGTAATATGTACCCTGGCCTGAGAAGAGCTGTGCAGCTGCAGCTGCAGCCATGAAGTCTCTAGAGTAGCATGGGCATTAATCATCTAGTGTGCTTCACATCATACCGGACACTATGCTATCAGTTGTGTATCCCGTAGGTACGTTAGATGCTAGCAGTTATCGGTGTACCGTCCGTTTCTTCTTCGGACTCTTTGCTGCGGTCTTCTTCTTCCTTCTCTCGGCGTCCGGGTCGAAATACTTGCTGCGCATCACGACGTTGACTTTCTGGGTGCCTTCGTACTTCAGCGTGAGCTGGAAGGTATGCAATGAAATTGAAGCAAAGGGCCATGTGAATGTAGTGTAACATTTCCAATTAAAGTCTGAAAGTAGTTTTTCAAAACGGAGTGAATTTTATAAACGTTTCTGGTTTCATCAGAAAATCTGGCTCGCAGCACTGGGTCAACACACGGCTAGCTCACCATTGTAAATCAAGTGCTGTCCAATCAGTCTGCTCTTTACTTGATTTTCAGAGCCTAATGTGGCAAATGATGCAGGATAAATTTAACATGTACTTTAGGTGTTCAGCCTTACAGTCCACTGCCTGTATCTATGCCAATGGGGATTTCCCCCACCAATCCTGCTAGCCCTGACTGCAAGGATACATGACTGTACATGTACAGCAATGACTGTGTGTGCGGGTGCTTGTGTGATGACTGACATTTGTCTGTGTCTTGTGGACCACACTCCAGGCGGACAGAAAGTACCAGCTGTCACAGAAAAGTGACTTTTCCAGTTTAGTTGACGCGTGTTGGTGGTTGTTTGAAGTGGTTGCTAGACACGAGTATTGAGTTCTGCTGACCGTGCATACGATACATACAGCCAGTATTGTGTGTGTGTGTGTGTGTGTGTGTGTGTCCATGAGCCAATGTTCACTCTCCTCGTCCTTCGTGAGGCTTTGCAAGCCCGCGAGTGGAGCAAACTACCGCACGAAGACGACGACTTGGAACGACTCTGAGCATTGGCTCATGGAATGTTCGCCCTGTTGTGGAAAGTGATTGACCAGTTCAAGCGGCAGCCGTGAGAGGAATCGTTTCCGATGATAAGCCAGATCCATAGCTGCCAGAGATGGCTCTCTCGCTCGGAACATGGTCCCTGAGTCCCTGACCTAGTACCTCTCTCTCAGCGGACTGCCGTCGCTCGTCGTTCCATATTGTCGGCCCCGCAAGGGGACACGTGACCGTAATGGCAGTGTTTACCATGACCATGTGTGTGTGTGTGTGTGTGTGTGTGTGTGTGTGTGTGTGTGTGTGTGTGCGTGTGTACGTGTGTGTGCACGCGCGCATGTGTGTGTATGCATGTATGTGTGTGTGTGTGTGTGTGTGTGTGTGTGTGTGTGTGTGTGTGTGTGTGTGTGTGTGTGTACGTGTGCATGCATGTGCACACACATGTCATGTGACTGTGTTTGAGCGTGAGTGAGCATATGTGTATGTATGTGCATGCGTATATGTGTGTTTGTGTTTATGTGTATTTGAATGAACGCTGTCAGTACACTCGCCAATGCACTGGTACTTACTGGCAAGACTAGCTCGATCAATTCATCGCTCAGCTGCACAGTACACAGCACACAACACACAAGATAAGACACAAAGAGGCTGAGTCATGGGTTTATGACTCTAATACCCCTCCCCCCTCCCCTCGCCACACAGACACATACCTCCCCATCTCTGCTACACAGAAAAAGCAGCACAGACTCCTCTCCTCACTTCAACAGGTAACAACATCACTTCAACATACTCCAGGAGTAGAGTGTCTAGAGTCAGTAATCCTTACTCGGATGTGCTTATCAAGATCAACTGCATGTCACGGCAACCATACAACACCTTGGTCCCTATATCCAAAAAGGCCGGTAACGTTATACCGTGTACATAAAGAAATCTCAAGGCTCAAGATGACCTGATTGTGTTTGCATGAGCTCGACTCAGTGCTGGGGTGAGGGGATCCTAGGCCAACGGAAGTCAGGGTTCACGAGTCCATCTCCGAGGATAAGAAGAACAACATTGCCCTTGCTGGCCACTAGTACTAGTAGTAGTAGCTAGGATGCAGTACAACCATTGAGATTCCAAATCAGGACAGTCAAACCTCTTTAAGACGAACACCAAGGGACCGACGGGATTTGTTCGCAGTACTGGGAGCTCTTCTGATCCATATCTTATACCCAGTGAATACACCGTGATCTATCCAATCGAGATACAAATACTAGATCTTCTTTTAAAACGGCTCATCAGGTGTGCAATTTGAAACTCGGATGTTGAGCCAATAATAAATGTAGAAAGGAAAAGGACATGTGGATACGAGTTAAGAGTTGTTGCACTTTCTGACTGTATATAGTATCATGTTACAGTGATGGAGAGTTACTCTTAACTCATATCCATATGTCCTTTTCCTTTCTAGATCTTCCTAAGCAAAAGTTTGTTTTATCAGTGTTCTTCTTAACGAAGTTTCACTGTACTTTGGACAGATATAGTAGAACTATGATAGGACATACCCCCATAGGGGGCAGGAAAGTCTACTTAGTATTCGACGTATCAAGTGCTTATCCCATCATACTCCAGTATGGATCAATGCACCCATGCTCCGGGCAGTGTTCATAACAAGCAATAGTGGGTACTATCAGAATACGTACGAAGTGAGTTTCACTGCACAATTTAACCATTGTCAGAGGTCATCACAAGCACACACACACACACACACACACACACACACACACACACACACACACACACACACACACACACACACACACACACACACACACACAAACACACACACACACACTAACACTAACACACACACACACGGATAACACAGTGCTGCAATGCATGCACCTGCTCAGGCCAACAGTGTACAGTGTACTATTCCCAAGAGACACCCACTGACTCACCATTGCATCAGGCACTTTCAACTTGATTGTCACAGTCTTGTCACACGGGCCCTGGGTCAAGAATGTCAGCACATAAATGTAGAGGCATGCAATTGTGAACAAGCACCTCACTATCTTCATGACGATCTTTACCCCAGCAAATATTGGAGGTGAATATTTCACGAGTATAGCCATATCATGCAATGCAAAGATCTTCCAATTGAAGTCTAAACTTAATTTGCGGTCAGTTGACCCGGTCAGAGACAAGTTCTCCTTGTGCTTGTAGTTGTAAAGTATTCATGTGCCACACAGCAGGGTCACCTATACTGTACTTCTCCGGACTCCGCTTGTAGGCCAGTTGTGGCCAGACTGCGATGCAATATTGACTTGAGAGCAACATTGCTAGACTAATATGTGCGCTGCACTGCCTCGTATAGAGTGCATGTCATTGTGTTGAGCCAGCTTGCTTACTTATGGGCGCTAAGCATACAGCATGAGTCGGCGGATTGAGGGCAGCATTGCTAGACTTATCTATGAACTTCATTGCCTAGAAAAGAGGTTATACAAACGAGGTCATAGGGTTGAGCCGGGGGACTCGCTTATCGGACCTAAGTCTACTGCACAGGTCGGCAGTTTCGCTTGGGCTAGTACATCGCTGTGCCCCACGCCTACCACTCCATATATGGCATCTCAACTGAGGATATAATTGCATGAGCTCTATAGTCTATACCCACAGTAACCATGGGTACGTGTACACTTACCTTCGCAGGATCCACTATAACCATGTTGCTCAAGGAACAGGGCTCAACAGCGCCGAATACAAACTCGCCGGTACTCTGAAATCAGACACACAGGCCATGATATTACATGCCGAACAGCAGCACTTGCCCAGATCAGAACATGTGCGTCGGAGATTCTAGTACGTAATTTAACTATAATTCATATACAGTATTAGTAGTATAGTATAGTATTTATTCACATTTCTCTAGGGCAGTCCCCACAGACCTATGGTCTCCTTACGGGGTACCCTAGCCAATCTAGGATTGCGATACGAAATTGACTTGGTGAAGCAGCAAGGCGGACCGATGCCGGAACTGAGTTCCAGCGGTCAGCGGCTTATACACAGATTCAGTACATCAGCAAACTACATCAAGGTGATGGAAATGTCACTGAATAAATCTTTTTCGACTGACAGTGGTACAACATAACAGAGCTAACAGGTCTGGAAGAGCATAGTAAAATTCATTAGCTTTGTTACCTTGAACCACTCGAGGTCGAAAAAGCAGTTTATTCAGTGTTACAGTGCAAGCGGCTAACCAATGGCTTGTCCGTCAGTCTTTTGCCAATGAACATGAACAGATGGATTGAACCCCGATGAAATCTAGATCATACCACAAACTAGTACGCATACAATTTGACACAGTTAAGACCAAAGTAAAACAAACGAAAAAGTTACTCCATCTCCTTTTGATGTGGTGATGCAAGACGTTTTAAAAGGTGCTTCCTCCAAACTAGAAACCAGAAAACGTCACAGTCGACTTTGATGGGAAAATGGGAGCGACTGCACATTATCACAGTGAGTGAGTCTAGAGTCTCACCTTCTTATTGTCTTTGCTGCTGCTACTAGTGCTCTGCTTTATGGACTGAACAGTCAGCTGGTGACTTGTACAGTAGTCTGAGAGATCACCACCACCGCCGTGTGTGTAGTCCAGCGACAGCGTCATTGGAAAGTTTGCTTTCAATGTACACTCACCTGCACGACAGGCACACAGGACAACAAAATGCAGAGTTCTGCCGCCGGGCATTTGCATTCGCATTCGAGGATTGTTGCAGAGCTAGAGTGTTCTGCTCTGTTTACAATCCTGTATTGTGTGTGTGATGGTGTGTTGTGCCTGCACATGTTGTACTCCAAGCATGAAGGTCTTCTTGAAGCAAGATTCCTGAACGGACCTACACCATTCTCCTTTCAGATCTGATGTTTCCAGCAAACTCTATTCATTCACTCCGAGAGAAGCCTCGACAGCACTGACCAGCGGGTACATTCTGAGATTGTCCAGCTGCGTCTGGGCTAGACGGATAGTGAAGGGACTAGTTTCCTGCACTAGATCACGTTTTGAGAAAACGCAAAAGAACAAAATTGATCGCCGGCAACAAATCGATTCTATCAGAGCAAACTGCAAAAGCGACTCACATCAATTAAACCTTCCGGCAGAATCGAACATGGAGAAGCAGGCGTATAGCCCGCAAGGGGGGAGGGGGGCACATGCACCCCCTAAAAATGTCGACCTAAGTTCAACATGCATATGTACATAATGACCATGAATGACATGCACCAGTCATCCTACACATATGCGGGGGCCATGTACCCACCTAAAAGAGGGATCACCTACGCCCGGGAGAAGATCAACAGCTGACCCAGTCACTTACTTGGTTCTGGCCTGGGTACTGGCATGTGTGCAATGGTGTCGGCGTGCGCATCCGTCCGCAGAGCACCCGTACTGCTCACCAGGCAAATCGGGTACTGCCACACGTTGGCACACACCTTGTAGCTGACAACCTGAGCAGCACAACAGCACAGCACGAGCACTAAAGCTCTAGAAATCCTGCTATAACGCGATGGGAGACGACTTTTCATGCAACAACAACACGCGAATGCACAAACACCACGTACATACACGACACACAATTTAACGTACTACAACAATAATGATATAGTATGCATTCTTTTCTGATATACACTCACACCTCGCTTAACCGCACACATCCGTTTTCCACAAAAATATCCGGATAGGCGAGGGAACCGGATAATCGAACACACATACTGTATGTATGCATGGCAGATGCTGTAAATCGGTAACTAACGATTTTCTTCCGGGTGGCGAGGGATCCGGATGAAAGAGGACCGGATAAGCGAGGTCTGACTGTAGCACATAAGCCAGCCAATGGCGGAAATCCGCTACAGGCCTCAGCTCTGCAACGGTGGTCACTACGGGAGCTTGCAACTTATCAAGAATGGAGAGGTTTCATGTCTTTGTCACGTGACTGCATATGTGCAGACACGGGAATCAACCGGCCGACGTCATGTGACCCATGAATTCAGGTGACTGGTGTCTGAACCAACATGGCTAACAGGCATGATGATGTCAACAAGAGTTGTTATGTCCCCTTGCGGACTAACATTCCATTACACTCATGCATTCTTACTGACACACACAAACACTAGCATTTATAAGACATTCCTCTTGGTCAGGTAAAGTAACAACAACAACCATATGCGAGCATGCGCAATACAGTAACAAACGGTGTAGTAGATATATAATGACTAACTTGCATACACAACAACTGCCCCCTTTCAAGAATGTTCCAGGGAATATTCTACCACAATTAAATACCTCAAAATCGTTGAAGCAACACATAAAATAAGTTCATCAATCCACCGTACGTGAATTCTTAAACTTTGACACAGCACTACAATAACATAATCTGACGCAGGAATCCGTCAGTCAATATTACTAGCAATACCAAGGATCTTGCACACTATTGTACATGGTAATAATTACTAGTTCGCTAAACAGTCCAGCAATGACATATCAGGGAACGGCTCAAAGCTGTTCAATCAGTCTATCCGGACGAACACTACGCCGAGACGAACGTCTAACAGTGGTTTCACAGGGAGTATTCTCGACCTGTGGTAAACCAACTTCAGGAGCAGACTGCTCACAAGGAGGATCCGCCTCAACTTGTACAGTAGCAGACTGTGGCGAGACGCTAGCCGGAAAATCACTGGACAGTGACGACTCTCCTACGTCTGACAGCACTGGTGACGGTGACGTCTGATCGATTGTATCCAACAGTGGTTCTGGCAGCGATGCACTCAAGCTTGCCGGAACTGACCGTAGACGCAACTGGTCTCGGTGACGCTTCCACAACACATCACCCACTTGTACTTCATAGTTGTAGTCACTGAGGACACGCACAATTCGTCCCGGGACCCAACGATTACCTTTGCCGAAATTCAGCGCAAACACAGAGTCACTCTCTGTGAACGCTGGCTTGACGCGATTGCCGTCCTCATAAGCCTTTGCTTGTTGACGTACCTGCGAGGGACGCAGAGCACTGAGCCGCGTGCGTGGCTGGCGTCCAAACATCATCTCCGCCGGTGTTCTGCCGGCATGGTTGGGTGTCGTGCGGTACGTTAGCAGAAACCTGTCGAGCCGAGCTTGCAGTGGTTCGCTCGTTGCACCCATTTCCTTCAACTTCTGCTTAAACACACCCACATAGCGCTCAGCAAGTCCATTCGTAGCCGGATGGCCTGGAACCGTCAGGGTGTGCACAATGTCGTTGGCACGGAGGAAAGCCTTGAATTCCTCGCTCGTGAATTGGGTTCCATTATCTGAAACAAGATGCTCCGGCAGACCAAACACAGAGAACACGTGCCGCAGAGCCGCAATAGTGGTTGCAGACGTGGCATTAGACATTGCAATTACATCCAGATACTTTGTGTATGCATCCACCACAACCAGGAACATCTTGCCCATGAATGGTCCTGCAAAGTCGATATGCACCCGTTTCCATGGACCGTTTGGCCATGACTAGGTTCCCGACTTGGCAGGTGGACATTTCGCACTTTCTTGGCATTGAGCACATGCCTTGACTAACATTTCAATCTCTTGATCCACATTTGGCCACCATAAGTACCGTCGTGCCATTTGCTTGGTTTTGACCATGCCAAAGTGCTCCGTGTGCAAATCACGTAGCAATACCATTCTTAGTGATTTGGGTATGACAACTCGTTGTCCCCACAATAGGATACCATCTTCCGCAGACAGCTCATCCCTCTTATTGTGGTAAGACCGAAACGATTGGGGTACTGAGCTAGGCCAACCATTCACCACATAGTAGAGCACCTTAGATAGCTCAGGGTCACGAGCTGTTTCCGATTTCACTACGTCTGCTTTGATTATCGTATCTTCCTCCACTAGCAAGACACGAACCGTAACCATTTCCTCTGCAGACGGACTGATATTCTCACATGGTTGCCTAGACAGGAAATCCGCGTAGACATTTTCCTTGCCTGGCAAATACTTGATCTCATAATCATAGCCAGCTAGCATTAGTGCCCATTTCTTGAGGCGAGCTGATGCAAGTGTAGGAACTGGTTCGTTGTTTCCCAGTAACTTCAATAGTGGTTGATGGTCGGTTTGAAGCGTGAAGTGGCGCCCTAGCAAGTATTTCTGGAACTTCGTAACACCGAAAACCACAGCTACGGCTTCCCGTTCGATTTGTGCATAACGCGATTCAGCCGGTGTCAATTTCCTTGACACGTAAGCAACCGGCAAAACATCACCATTCGTTTGCCTTTGCAATAGTACGGCACCTAGACCCATTGGAGAAGCGTCCACCTGGAGTGTGACTGGCTTCTTGACATCGTAGTGTGCTAATAGCGTATGCTCACACATTGCATCTTTCAAGGCCTGGAATGCATCTTCCTCTGCCTTGCTCCATTGCCATTTCATTTCTTTCCTGAGCAGGTTGTACAGTGGTGCAGCAATCTCTGCGAACCGAGGTACAAATTTCCGTTGAAAATTGGCCGCACCCAGAAAAGAGTACAATTCATTCACGTTGTTAGGCGGCTTTGCGACTTTCAAGGCATTCACTCGATCAGGCGAGGGTGCGATTCCCTGCGCGGTTACCTGATGACCAAGGTACGTTAGCTTATCCGCCATGTAGCTGAACTTCTTAGGATTGAGCTTGAATCCTTTCTCATTTAGGCAAGATAGCACTTGATCCACATTTTTCTCATGGATCTCCTCATCACGACCAGTACACAACACATCGTCGATGTAGCCCCCGCATCCTGGCAAATCGCTAAGGGTTTCTTCCATTACCCGTTGGAAAATAGATACGGCGCTGTGAAAACCAAAAGGGAGTCGTTTGTACTGATACAACCCCTGCATGGTATTGATCGTGGTGTACTTCCGACATTCAGGTGCAATCTCTAGCTGGTGGTAGGCTTGCGACAAATCCAGCTTCGTGAATTTAGACCCCGGGCCCAATTTGTGCAATAGCTCCTCAAGAGTGGGTAGCGGGTATTGCTCGCATTTAGAATGCAGATTGATAGTGCCACTGTAGTCACCACAGATTCTCAACCCACCTCCTGATTTCTCTACCGTGACAGTGGGGGAGGCCCATTCTGAATGCGTGACTTTCTCGATTATACCATCTGCTTCCAATTTATTCAGAGCCTCAACATAGCTCTCCCGAATTGACAGTGGTACCGGCCTTGCCTTTCGGTAAACAGGGCTCTCATCAGACACATGCAATTTCACCTGCACGCCTTTCACCTTTCCCACTTCTGAGGTGTCGAACAACCCTGGGTATTTCTCAATGAATTTAGCGCCAGACTTTTCGACCTGGTGCACTTCGAAAATTGATTTCCAGGGGAGTTTGAACAAAGCCATTGCATCTCTACCCAGAATAGATGGACGGTTTCCATTTGTAACCCTCACCAATAGTGTGTGCAATTGTGTGCCCATTCGGAACTCCATTTCCGCTTCCCCGAGACAATTAATCACATCTCCAGAGTAGGACACAAGGTTGATACTGGATTCCATCAGGTTACTCAGCACACCATTGCATTGCAAGAAATCTGCGCTGCTGAGAATCGTGACAGCACTTCCCGTATCAATCTCCATTTGGATAGTGGTACCCATTACATCTAATGACACAGTGTACGGTAGTCGCCCCCTTGCATTTACACTATACATGGTGACATCGGGTTTACTAGCACATGGAACGAACTCACCAATTTCTTCCGCGATGTGATGGACGGTTTGTCCAGACTTCTTCTTGCGGCAAGCTCTCTCGATGTGACCCACCGTACCACACGCGTGACACTTCACACTCTTGAAGCGGCACTCTTCCGGTTTGTGACCAGCCTTGTCACACCGAAAACATTTCTTGTCGTGCGACTTGAAAGTTGGAGTTGGCTTGCTCGTCGACTGGCGCGAACGAACGGCGTGGACGGACTGCGCCGTCAATTGTTCCGACTCTCTCGATGCAGTTTCATAGGCTGATGCCATCGTCACAATGTCCGCCAAACTTGAGGTCTCCTTTGCTTTCGACAATATCTCCTTCGTAACACTCATCGACTTCAACCCACTGACAAACTGGTCTCGGAGTGCCCTGTCCAAATACGCCTGAAACTTACAGTCCATGGCTGCTTGCTTTAGTCTAGCTGCATACTGTGTTGCTGACTCTCCATCCTTTTGACAAATCCTCTGGAATCTATGAGTCGCCGCCAACACACTGACATTAGGCTTGAAGTGCTCTGAAAGCAATTCTCCGAGTTCCTCAAACGTTTTCTGCGCTGGTTTGTCCGGCAGGCAAAGACTCTTCAGAATCGAGTAGTTCTCAGCAGAGAGTTGACTGATCAGGACAGCTGCCTTTTGCGTGTCCGCCGCTCTCTCCTGGTCCGCGGTTGCCCCAGCTGCGACTTGTCCAATACTGTTGGCGATAAAATAAAACGTGAGTCTCTCTACATACTCACGAAAATCACCTTTTTCAAATATTTCAAGCTTCGATCGCGACATCTTCGTCTTTTATCTTCGTCGCCAAATTGTTATGTCCCCTTGCGGACTAACATTCCATTACACTCATGCATTCTTACTGACACACACAAACACTAGCATTTATAAGACATTCCTCTTGGTCAGGTAAAGTAACAACAACAACCATATGCGAGCATGCGCAATACAGTAACAAACGGTGTAGTAGATATATAATGACTAACTTGCATACACAACAAGAGTACATAGCTTCAAGAGTGTGCAACTGCCTGCACAATCCCGATCCACTGCTGCGACAGCAGAACTTCACATCATGTGACATGGTTCAACAGGTTACGCTGGCAAAGAGTGCAAAGTGACCACAAGCGAGTTGAGCCCGAAGCAGGGTTGCATGCAACCCCGTATCTATCATACATCTGGTGAAAATAATGAGAGTGAGTTGGTGATGTGAAGTTCTGCCATCGCAGACCCTATAGCTGGAGTTGAACACTCTGGGGGGGGGGGGGGGGGGGGTATGTACACCCAATGTGATGGTTGGCATCTCACAAGCACTTGCAGGTATCAAGCACTACATCAACGACAACGAGAGCCCGCATTAAGCCAGGCCAAAGAAAAACCGAATGCTCCACAACACTGGAAACCACTGTGCACTCACAGAGCTAGACAGTCGTATGAGAAGTCTTGCGGTTGCGTTCAGGATAGGTCGGTCGCTCATCATCTCCACCACGACTGGGCACTTCTCGCCTGCACAATGATCAAAACCATACAGGAACTACAGGCTAACACCCGCTCTGTCCAAATTGGCCAGTGTTTCCAATGCACTTTGAGACTTTGCCAGAAATATAAATGAAATACGCACCACCAATCCTCCACCTGGAGCCCTGATTTAAAATTTATCACAATACACGACTGTGTTTACTGGCATGTCCATGCCACTTGGAAGGCTGAAAAGGCAAATAAAATTAAACTGCCTGTCTATGCCATACACTATACACACGGCTGGCACGACATTGACACCGACTGCAAGATTGGGTGTTCTATCTTTGATCGAGAGAGAGAGAGAGAGAGATCATTCCAAAAATACAAGTGCATTGCATTGTCCCTGCCAAATTGACATGTTCCACTATAGCTCTTATGACGTCACACAGCAGCACACGTGCAGCACATACCTGCCGATAACTTGCCAGCCATTGCTACACACCTGAAGATGGGCATGTTAGTGGTTGTTTTCGGCAATCCAATGGATTGGGACGCATCTGAAATAGAGCACAGACATAGGAACCGATGCAGCTCGTGTGCAGGGCTACGTGTGGTCCATGTGTTCGCTGCGTATGCTGCCTCATGGCAACTGCATGCTAAAAAATGTACATAGTATGCGGTATGCATATGCTGGATTATAGCTGGTGAAAACCCTGATGAAGTGCTAACTAAGTAAGGGCCCAGTCAGCAATCACTCCTCTACAAAATGATGAAAACATCGTGTCATGTGTTCTGTGGTGCATCAAACAGCATCAGCAGCAAAAGGAGCAGGACTGAGCAGAAAAATTCCGGAATTCTCTACATGTATATTGTACACACCATGCATTTGCAATGTACACAGTCATATAGCATGAAAAGACAGCACCAGAATGGACAAAGGATTATTTGAACTTATTTCTTCGAGAGAGAGAGGGAGAGGGGGGGGGGGGGAGAGAGAGAGAGAGAGAGAGAGAGAGAGAGAGAGAGAGAGAGAGAGAGAAAAAGAGAGAGCAACATTAAGGAAAAAACTGGAATTCTAATGGCATGGTCTAGGTGTTCCTTCTTCTGACTGTACTGATTCATTCAGTGTTAGCGTGCTCGGCGTTGACTTGGCATAACTACAGCACAGAACTAAGGCAGTTTTTACTAACCTGTTGGCTCTAGTCTTGCTTCGAAGTCCAGAAGTACTGATCCAGTGTTGTGTACCTGCGGGCAATGACAAACCAGTACAGTACCAGTGTAAAGCCATATCCTTGGAAACACGCAAGGGCGTCGGAACCGCACCGGCCGGGGCGGCCATGGCCACCCCACTTTTTCGGCCGTTTTTTTTTTTTTTTTGAGCACACTGCAACAAAGCGCGATGATCTCAGCGCAAACGTGGCAAATCCTTGTCCCCGATCCTGGTTTGTTGCAGAATCAAAAGTCCATGTACACTGAAATGGCACCAAATGCCTGGGAATGCTTGCAATTGGCTTCAATTTTTGAATTTTTTGCCGGGGGAGGGTAATGTTTGTCCCCGATCGTAGCATCTTCTTGGTTTTTTGCAGAATCAAAAAGTCTTTCATTGTAGTTACCGTACACTGAAATGGCACCAAATGCCCGGAAATGCTTGCAATTGGCTTCAATTTTTGAAATTTTTTCCCGGGGGAGGACCCCGCACCTCCCTTCCATGGCCGCCCCACCTCCAACGTCGGTGCGACGTGCCTGACACGGTCACCCGGGAAATCGTGACCTAGCACGATGCTAGCATGGATGCGTCTGATTGGATACTAGGTTGAAGGTTTGACCACTCTGTGGTGGATCTGACCTGCGTTCTGAAGGTGCCAAAAATCCTTCAAAGCCAGAAGTTATTGGAGACTACTAACTCGTTCAACAATTTCACACTCACACGGGTAGATAAGAAAACAACAGGAGGTACCCATGCCCCCTCTCCTCCTCCTCCCCCCCCCCCCCCACACCCACCCATCCATGCACCCCACCCCGCACACCCATCCATGTATCCCCCCCCCCCCCACACACACATGGACATCTCCACCCCCACACATTGATATGCACCCTCCCCTCCCTAGCACCCCCCCCATATACCCCCCACCCATGTACCCCACCTATGTACCCCACACCCAACCATGTACCCACCCATGTACCCCCACCCATGTACTCCCTGTACCCCCACCCACAAATTTACCCCCCCCCCCCTCCCCACCCACACTACTACTTACCATCAGCTGTCTCTTCTCCTTCACGCCAACCAGCCGTTCCTTGAAATTCAGCCCATCAGCGTCGGCAGTCTGAATGTGATACGCAGGCTCCACACATTCCCCGGTGATCCTCACACGATGCTTTCCAAGACTGTCCCTGAACTCCACCACTTCAGAGTACTGTATACCAGGGGATAGTAAAGGCATAGGAGACACGCACAGCCACCACTGCCTCCTCATAACTAGCTCATGGTCGTACAGTTTGTTTCGGATAAAGCGTACCCTTTTGCACCCCGTGAATTTTTCACTGTAGCCGATGCATCGCCACAAGCAATACCGCATGCACACGTATATGTACAAGTATGCGATGCGTGTTGTATGGTCGTGTACGTCATATGTGTGCATAGTACAGTTGTGGCGAAGGAAATCCGACCCACGAGCCGAAAGTAGCACCACATTTCCACTGCATTGACATCATGCAGGTTCGTATAACCCATCCGAGGGCCGTAGTGTGTCGAGGTCTCAGCACAACCGCTCACCATACCCATCTCGTTCTCTGAGATTTATGGCACTCTGCATTTAGCCTACAGACGCGACCTTTAATCAGCGAGGGGCATCTCTCCTGCACCGCAAGGTGTAACGTACCGTTCCTTTGCTGCGTGGAGAAAATCTTAGCCGCAGTTTGCCGCACTGCAGTGGCGCGATCTCCGCCCCTGCTTGCTCGACGGTATACGGTCCATTGGGATCCATTGAATATGAGCGTATCTGCGCATGGCACCACACCAGTACGGTGGGAGATTGTCAAGGAAAACTATCCACCTTGCGGCACAGTGTTTAGTGGTTGTTGGGTGCATTGTGCGACCACTGTGATAGCAGACTCGTATACTCAATCTGCGGACAGAACTGTTTCGTCCTTTGTGGACTCATCAGCGCAGCACAGAGAAAGTAAGGCCAAACCTGAAAGCAATGAAAAATAAAATTTCCGAAGCCAAATTTAAACCAGGCCCGAACGTACCAAGTTATCTATAATGTCTATTTTGTTTTGAGTACAAAATGCGTAAAGCGACCCGCTTGGTCTGCGTAGACCGTGGGACAGCTTCAATATACATCAAGCTGTATGTTGAAGCATGGGCAGGAGCCGAGATGACGAGTTTAGCACACTATTATAACATCAACACTTCTGAAGCTCCATCGGCACCAGATTCCAGATAACTCGGGAATTCTCACGAAATCAACGATATAATCAAGGTCAGGACATTTGGCAGTAGGGAGGAGGATACAGAGGTATTCTTGTTGGAGATGTTCTCTATTTCAATCTCTTGACTCGCAGTTGAACCTAGTGCAGAGAACAGATGGAGAAGACACGCAAAGAGACTCCTTGAACAGCTACAAACTGTAAGCAAATACCGTAATGCCAAAACTAACTGTACTCCTAAGGTTACGTATACATATCCGTGTGTACCTGAAGCCACTTGCTTGAAGTCTATGCGTTCACACGACAGCAGACTGGCGGGTGCACGGCTAGCGATGACCGCATGGATATACAGTGTATCAGCAGGGTTGACTCTAATAGGGCACAAACAAAAAGAAATAGGAACACGGCATGACAGCTACACCATAGCTCAGTAGTCAGAGCATCGCTGGCCTCGAGCGAAGATCCCTGGTTCGAGCCCAGGAGGCGACAGTCAGTTTGTTCTTCAGACTTTTCCCGTTTGCATCTTTCCGACAAACCAGTGAATAAGGAATGCAATTGTGCGGATAAATGTAGTTTGAATGCATTCAATGTACGGCGTCATGGAACTAGGCATCCTTTGTGACCTTGGCATGTCTTGAGGTATAGGGCGAGCCTAGCGTGAAAACAACAGGTGCAGTGATGAGCCTTAATCTGATGCATGTACTGCCCAGTTCTTTGCTTAATCTAGTTAGTTATCATAAATTCATAATAGAACTTCAAGTGACTGTCCTTTTTTCAAAGATACTCTCACACTGGATGCTGCAATGGCAATTATATCTTCCTCATGGATGCTTCTTCTGCAATGGCGTCGCAAGCACCAGTTTTCCACTCCATACCGTGAATGCATGCGCAGTGACGTCATTCACGTAATCCCACTCCATACAAAGCATACAATCATGATGATGTCATGGACAAGACCCCACTTCATACAACGCATACGCAGTGATGCAATAGGCATAACTCCACTCTGTACCAACAAAGTACAATGACATCATTCCCATGATCCCACTCCACACAAAACATGCATGATGATGTCACACACAGAACCCTGTAGGACTGTGAGCTGGCCTCTCTTACCGCAGGTCCTCCTCGCCACTGCCCGGCTTCTTTAGCTCTGACACATAGCAGCTGATCTCAGCGAGTTCCGGCGAAATCTTGATGTCGCCCAAGCACCTATTCTTCACTTGCATGATTAGTTCATGGCTGCAGGAAGCGAGCAGAAAAGCAGTGGAGAATGTCTGGAAATGAATGACATCTGCATTCTTCAAACTTGGAAGCTAGATAATTCCGGCCGCATGATGTGGGATCAATGTTATACATGCATGTTGTCCCTTTTTCACACAATGTGAAGGCTGAATTGGTGAGCTATATTTTGCTGAGCACTGTGTCAATGACTATGCTATGTAGAAGCACTGGACTAGCCCTAGCAATAGCCCTTAGCCCTAGCAACAGCCCTAGCAACAGCCATAGCAACAGCCCTAGCAACAGCCATAGCAACAGCCCTAGCAATAGCCCTTAGCCCTAGCAACAGCCATAGCAAGGGCCACGGCCACAGTCACAGCCATGGCTATGGCCAGCAGAAGTGCCTTGCACACACTGCACAAGGACCTACTCCACTAATAGTGCTTCAGCTTGTGATTGAGTTGGTAGGGACTATGATTGCGAGGAGGGAGATTGACGGTGTGGTGCCGTTGACGCCCACAAACCTTCTTTCTACTTCTTTCATGTGTTTATACTTCAATATTCAGTGTTTAGCAGGATGTCAGCCTAGCCATTCTGCGATATCCTGTTCTTCAGCACATGAGATCAGATCACTATCATGAAAGTAATACAATGGTCTAGGCTACCCTGGTACAAAAACAAAACACATATGGCGCCGGAGGTAAGGAAGATGCACACATACTCGGCCTCAATGTCCTCTCGCGTTGCGTACGGCATCGTCTTCGGCGTTGCTCTGGCGCTGCTGGCCGCATTGATCGTGCTAGTCTTGCTTGCTCGCACCTTCTATCGACCGGGCGTGAGGGCAGATAGCAAAGAACAACACAAGACATTTCAATTGGCCATGTGCGAATGCTGAGATGGCACATTACTAAATACAGTGTTGCAACAAAATTGGAAAAAGCACTGGATTCCAGACAAAGAAATGAACTAGCTGGCCTGCATCCCTGCATTACCAGACACCAGAATGAATGCAATTCGATATCAAGAATTATTTATCAATTTATGAAAACTATCCTCAGACCTCCCACCATGGCCGGGTATGCGAACCGGACATCCTTGCAAGCAGTGTGGCCATGTCCCCACCCATTTGGTGTATCCATTGAGCTATGAAGCCGAGACCTCTCGTCGGCTGATATTGATGGGCCCCGCCATCACAATTCTTTATTCATTTCAGTGCCTGGAGATACGTGGATTTTGTAGAGGGAAAAAAACTTACCGAACTAGCAGTGCTTGCAGTGAGGCGGTTCGCCGACACTTTCAGCGCCTCTTTGACCTTTTTGTTGTGCTCGTCCACCTCCTTATTCTTCTCTTCCAGCGCTAGACCCACAACGTCTTGGTCTAGACGAGGTGCATATATCAGCTTGACCTTCAGCTCCTGTACAGGGCAGAAACACAAAACTAGTACAAGTCTTGATTTCTCCTGAGCAAGCAACAACGACTATTTCGATAAACGTCATTCCTCCATGCACATGCACACACAGAACGGATGCATGCGAGCGCGCACACAAATGAGTGAACACATACACACATACACACACAATAACATACAAAGGTACACAAACAAATACAGTCAACTTCGCTTATAACGACACCCGGCGGGGCATCAGAAAAGTGTCCTTATTCGCGAAGTGTCGTTATATCCGAAGTCCCATTATATGTGTTACAGTTGGATGGGACTTTGCCCTGGGCATGGAAATGCTGTCGTTATTCGCGAATTGTCGTTATATCCGCAGTCGTTATTAGCCAAGTTGACTGTACTTGTAGTACCCCCTCCCCCCAAAAATGCCCACAGTCACGGTGAAAAAAACCCAGACAACACACCTCTCCTGGATGTATCACACCGGTCACTGGGTAAGCTTCAATGTCAACACCCTCCGGTATGGCAATGCTGAAGTGCCGTGGTCCCCTCTTCGGCGCTCGCCCAGACAACACATCAAAGCTGCTTGGCGGCAGAATGGGATTGCTGACGGTGATAGTCGCTGATGCTGAATTGCCTGGAGGTGTTGGGTCGAACTCCACCAAGCTGTGCGATAGTTTGAGTGGAGACAGAAATGTCACTGCCTTGCAGTCCACACTCGCAACCCTGAGTAGATGCCAGGCAGAAATTGAAAGGGAGTAAGAGGGTAATTGGCACTGAGGTCCAGAGCGTCATTGTGTGTCCCTTCTAGCATATTACTCAAATATGGTATCATTAGATTCTGTCCCCCTGCTTCAACGTGCTCTTATTCGCTTAGCTCTGTTCAACGTGCATGTCCAGCGCTCATGTCGAGACGTGGGTGGGTGGCTGCATTCGCTCTCCCTTCACTGCATCAGCTACAGCTAGCCACCCATTCACAATGTGCTCGTCCATTGCACTCTGCTGGAATCGGCACCCAGAAAGCTAGTGTCTGCCATGCACACGCTACGCACAATGCGGATGTGCAATACAGTCTACAACTTAGCTCTGCAGTACAGTACTGCAGGGCACCGAAGAACAACCAGCCTAGCATTTCACCAAGCACAGCACACCAGTGTATACACGGTGACTCAACCGTGCATGTACATGAACATAAGAACCGTCTAGGCTAGGAGGCTGACCCCCAGTTCTTGGGCGCAGTACTGTAGCATTGTAGTTTGGTAAGCATGCCACAATACTACAGTGATACTACTCCAGTTTCAACCCCTAAGGAGTCTGCAGAGATTGTGTTCAAATGAAGTTTATACTGAGATTCACACACCTAACTCGCAAGGGAGAAAAGACAGTGTATGAAACACAACTCACCTTCCTTGCAGCGTCTGACAATTCACTGTGAAGTTGAACTCCTGTAGGCACATTGGCATAATAATAACAACACAATTACTAGCACTTTCCTACAGCATTCATTGCTCATCTAGAATGTCCTTTCTGACCAGAAAACCCGATAACTGTAATGAATTTTCACTCGTTGTCTTCACCCGACTCACAACAGCTAGAAGTAGAGCATTAGGAATTTAGGATACACACAGCTTGAGTTCTGTAGCCATACTGTAACCAACGCTGTCGTAACCATCCACCATGCAATCAATACTGCTGTAACTACCTACCAAGTATCCAGAACGCAATCAGCCCAGTGTTCTGGCGTATTTATCTCCCTGCTTTTCGATCTAATTTACTCCATCATCATACTTTGTTGATGATCCGCTGCAAAATACCCATACCCATACCCATACCCATACCCATACCCATACCCATACACATACACATACCCATACGCTAGTGGAAACCTGTAACATGTAAAAGCAAGGAGCCGGGGTGCCGTGCAACAGCCAAGGTCAAGCAACGTCTTCAACTTACCCCTGGGTTCTCAGGAGCGAAGATAAGGTGGATAGTCCGACCTTCTCCGGGCGGCAACTCTCCAAAGCCATTGAGCGGCTCCACTTGCAAGTACTAAACCGAGGCAGGCAAACAGTGCACATGTGTATAAGACATGAACAAAACAAACAAGTGATATTGTACGTACATGGCACATTCATTAACAATAACGCTTTCTCGAGCAGACGCAGCATGCACCGCACTTCAATGAACATGAAGAAGCAGTCACCAAGTCATTTTGCCAAACGAAGTGCTGAGTCCTTGCCATACTAATGAGCTGACAACGAGAAAAATGAACTGAAGTCAACTCCAACCTGGGATAAGCCGTACCAATGTATGTATGTATGTACATGTATAACCCATAACCATTCTGGTCGTAGGGGTGTCATGTGTGTCATAAGGCAGCAGCAGCAGCAGCAGCAGCAGCAACAGCAGCAGCAGCAGCAGCAGCAGCAGCAACAGCAGCAACAGCAGCAGCAGCATCAAGTACCAAGAAACACATGTGAAGAGGAAACACCAAAAAAACCTCGTCTAGAAAAAAGTCAACACTCAACAAGCCACTGCACACACACATCAGCTATGCTCTTCTGCAAGAAACATCGTCGCACTAGCCCTGCACACGTACCTTCGGCAAGCCCACGAACCCATAGGGCTGCACGATGCTCGAGCCGTTGTTCAATCTGATGCTCACCACCTTCCTTGTCTGAATTGAACACCGGCCAAAGTCCACGCTGTTCACGCTGAACGTGAGGCCGGTGTCCGTGACCAATGCCTTCACATTCAGCAGCAGCTGTTGACTCTGTGGCAACAAGCACATGCAGCAGGTAGCAATATCAAGCCAGTATACAGAAGGAGCTGAGTTGAAGTGAAACATTTTTGTGATTTGGATTCTGAACTCGGACGGTGACCCAACGTTATCATGGGAGAGAGAAAGAACAAAATGTGACAAGTTATGACTAACTGACTAGCATGACCAACTTTACTATGATGTGAGTTGTGAACACACTTTCTGTATATGATCTGGTTAATTTTGAGGACAGTTTAGTCATAACTAATAACGTTTTGTCCTTCCTCTTTTCCATGGTATAAACCTTTGGGTTTTGTTCGTGCAAGTAACTAAAAAAAGTTGTGTGCATGGCAAATTGTACATGCGTGGTAGTGTCGGTGACCGTGGCGGTGATAGACTTGGCTATTCAATATTCAAGGACAATAATGAAGCATGCCAAAACGGGGAAACACCAACATACATGTACTTCTAGGGTTAAATCAAGGTTCATTCCATTCCGCAACTGCTTACCAAGTCATTGATCTTGAAGTTGACTGGGAAGGACAGGGGACACATGCCTTTTCCGTTCAACAAACTAAAGACCAAGAAATAGTTCAAAGACAAGTCAAGACACAAGGGATTCATTTCAACGATCATAGAGTGGCCCTACTTTCATCTGTTTACAGGACATCTCTAAAAAATACCAGCTGCCACACAGGTTCTAGCGGAAACTATTCCAGTGTTCGGATTTAGGTACAGGAGTGTCACGGGGCAGTAGGGACTGGTACGGCCGGAGGTTGGGGGGGGGGGGGGGTATGTCCCCGGGGGAAAATCGTTCGACCAACAGGGCACGTTTTTGCGCTCTACATGCGCTCTGGACGGACCACACTGGACGAAGAGTGGTACGACCATGGTCCTGCTGGTTGTACCGTGTGTGAGGCCCCTGATGTATGGGAAAGAGGTGTGTGCTTTCTGATCCTCCATGAGGACTGGCCTTAGGCTGACCAGCCATACGGGCTATGGTGTATACACAGTGCAACCGTGGAGCTCGGCTAGTTTGTTGTAACTCGTTGCCTGATGACTGAACTGAACATGAACTTAGAGTTACCTAAAACTGGCCTTGCTCTGCTGTGCACTACTCTGTACTATCTCTCTGCCCACATGGCATCCGAGTACTGTCAGAGGTGAATCTCTAACGGGGCACGTCTAGCGTTATAGCAAGGAAGAATCCATCGTCAACTCCAGAAGCGTAATACATGTTATTCCTTCACTCCTTTGTGCTAGAGAAATAGAAGACAGGTGTGTGACGACAGGGTCGTTATACTTTGTGCACGACGAGTGAGAATTTTTGGCAAGTTGTTACAAGACTCGCCACACTTTCAACTCTTACAGTACCCCCTAGGCACACTGGGTGAATCCCACTGTGAGCCATGGGGCATGCAACGGCACACGTCTCAAACTTAACTGCCCACATTGCCACCATGCGCCCAACACCTTACCTGCGCGTCGGTGAAAACTTGATCCAGACCGAAAACTTGGAGTTGGCCTGAACCACACCCTTCAGCGGCAGTATTACTAGGTGATGTTTCAACTCCTCTGGGAACGTGATTCTGAACTGGCACGATGCGCTTGTTCTGAGCAAGGAATAAGAGAATGGCAAAGGTTAGAGCGGTCCCAACGGATACTCTTTCCAAGATCTCTAATATAATAAGGTAAATGCTGTGAAAATAGTGCAACACACATGATGTGGAAAGGATGCCTGGTGTAGAAAGCTGTATAAAAAAATGATCAAACGAAGTCGAGAAACCTGTTCCGTGTAACTTTCGTATTACAATGTGCAAGCTCTGTAATCTGTATTATCACATTCATCAGTGTGCGGATATGACATCATCAATATAAGGCAGATGGGCCTGAGATGGCATCATCACTGGCTGACAGATGACATCATAATGCAACTGATGACATCATCATGCGAAGACGGTAAATGCTACTGGTAATGCAGTGTGCACGGTCCAATAGTAGTACTGCTATCATTGCTAGCAGTGCTATGTACACACCTGTTATAGATAATGACATCATCTTGGTAGAGGAAGTCAACACTGCAGATACGCAAGTCCAGTTCATCACGGTCCAGGTAGACTGGTAGCGATGACACCACCGCATGAGCTTCAACAAGTATCTAACAGTGACATGTGGTCATACAATAACAATACTCTTTCAGGAAAATTGGCTGCCTGGCAACCTGCAAAAAAACACAGGGGCATCCATATCTGTATCTCCAATGAAGTTTTTCTCTTCTTCAAAGCAAACTATTCGCATTCCGTGTATGCAGGAGTTTTCTTCATTTTTCAGAAATCGTTGCTATATTTTCATCATTATCATTCTATTCCTCAGAACCTGCTGGTTGGTTATAAGAAGCAAGTGTGCATGTAGCAAGCACATTCATCAATAGAACACTCGCCTGATCACATGTGTGTGTGTGTGTGTGTGTGTGTGTGTGTGTGTGTGTGTGTGTGTGTGTGTGTGTGTGTGTGTGTGTGTGTGTGTGTGTGTGTGTGTGTGTGTGTGTGTGTGTGTGTGTGTGTGTGTGTGTGTGTGTGTGTGTGTGTGTGTGTGTGTGTGTGTGTGTGTGTGTGTGTGTGTGTGTGTGTGTGTGTGTGTGTGTGTGTGTGTGTGTGTGTGTGTGTGTGTGTGTGTGTGTGTGTGTGTGTGTGTGTGTGTGTGTGTGTGTGTGTGTGTGTGTGTGTGTGTGTGTGTGTGTGTGTGTGTGTGTGTGTGTGTGTGTGTGTGTGTGTGTGTGTGTGTGTGTGTGTGTGTGTGTGTGTGTGTGTGTGTGTGTGTGTGTGTGTGTGTGTGTGTGTGTGTGTGTGTGTGTGTGTGTGTGTGTGTGTGTGTGTGTGTGTGTGTGTGTGTGTGTGTGTGTGTGTGTGTGTGTGTGTGTGTGTGTGTGTGTGTGTGTGTGTGTGTGTGTGTGTGTGTGTGTGTGTGTGTGTGTGTGTGTGTGTGTGTGTGTGTGTGTGTGTGTGTGTGTGTGTGTGTGTGTGTGTGTGTGTGTGTGTGTGTGTGTGTGTGTGTGTGTGTGTGTGTGTGTGTGTGTGTGTGTGTGTGTGTGTGTGTGTGTGTGTGTGTGTGTGTGTGTGTGTGTGTGTGTGTGTGTGTGTGTGTGTGTGTGTGTGTGTGTGTGTGTGTGTGTGTGTGTGTGTGTGTGTGTGTGTGTGTGTGTGTGTGTGTGTGTGTGTGTGTGTGTGTGTGTGTGTGTGTGTGTGTGTGTGTGTGTGTGTGTGTGTGTGTGTGTGTGTGTGTGTGTGTGTGTGTGTGTGTGTGTGTGTGTGTGTGTGTGTGTGTGTGTGTGTGTGTGTGTGTGTGTGTGTGTGTGTGTGTGTGTGTGTGTGTGTGTGTGTGTGTGTGTGTGTGTGTGTGTGTGTGTGTGTGTGTGTGTGTGTGTGTGTGTGTGTGTGTGTGTGTGTGTGTGTGTGTGTGTGTGTGTGTGTGTGTGTGTGTGTGTGTGTGTGTGTGTGTGTGTGTGTGTGTGTGTGTGTGTGTGTGTGTGTGTGTGTGTGTGTGTGTGTGTGTGTGTGTGTGTGTGTGTGTGTGTGTGTGTGTGTGTGTGTGTGTGTGTGTGTGTGTGTGTGTGTGTGTGTGTGTGTGTGTGTGTGTGTGTGTGTGTGTGTGTGTGTGTGTGTGTGTGTGTGTGTGTGTGTGTGTGTGTGTGTGTGTGTGTGTGTGTGTGTGTGTGTGTGTGTGTGTGTGTGTGTGTGTGTGTGTGTGTGTGTGTGTGGCTAAAAATAGTGGCGGTCAATTCATCAGCCTTGCAAGCTGTTGAATGGTGTAATCCCAGCACAAGTTGCTATGTCTAACATAGCTGTTCGCTATCATCGCTTCCGCGATGGGCAAGTCTGAGGTCTGAGGTTTGAGGTGTGTGTGTGTGTGTGTGTGTGTGTGTGTGTGTGTGTGTGTGTGTGTGTGTGTGTGTGTGTGTGTGTGTGTGTGTGTGTGTGTGTGTGTGTGTGTGTGTGTGTGTATGTGCCTGTAGTCAACGCCAGTTTCGGAGGCGACAGGACCTGGAGCGCCATTTGAAGCACTGCCTACCTCTCCCCTAACCTCTCTGACAGTACCTCCCTTTGGGGAGCGGCGTGGCCATTTCTGGCAGCTGTCAATAGTAGTAGTAGTAGTGTGTATGTGTGTGTGTGTGTGCATGCGTGCGTGCGTGTTTGTTAATCAAACGGATGTCATAATAGCAAAAGCATTAGGATCACGCTAATCAGAGAGTTAGCATGTCCAGGTGATGAACAACTCCTACCTCCGGTACATTGCTGTCCACCAGCTGCACCCGATATTGCTGTAGAATATCCTCGGCGACGACTGGACACATGCTGATGGAGATCTGCTTCTTACCGCGCGCTGGTATTGTGCCTTGCCAATCATTCTGAGTGAGAGAGAGAGACCCATGCACATTGCACTTGCAGTACTCGGAGCACACCATACTGTAAGAGTTGAAAGCGCGATGAGTATGAAGTTGAGCGATTTGCAGATTTTTCCCACAGAACGGGCAGAAAGTGTAAAGACCCTGTCATCACACCACCGACTTTAATTCTCTAGTGCAGAGGATAGAAAGAAAAGAGATTCAACTCTTCCAGTAACTAAATAGTCTTAGACCATAGGAGGAGAGACAAATTAACACGATTTACTGGGTTTGGGTGACTCACTGAGCTGTTCATGAACTAACGCAATCAGGCCTGTGTGAGTTCCGTGCCAAAATAATCCAGAATGGATGCTGCGTGGCCTTACCTCATCAAGCACGACTTGCGTGTCACCTTCCATTTCCTCAAGATCATCAACACCGTCACCGTCACCATTGTCCACCATCGGCATCTGCTGGTGATCGTCCAGTGCTGGTTGCGATACGGTGACCATTGCCTCGTCTGTGTCTGCCACCTCCTTCTCTTCCACTGTTGCTGCCTTAGAACCAGCTAACGAAACTTTGGATCGGGTCTGTTCTTGTTGCGCCGCGGAAGCCATAGACGACTTCAAAGATTTAGAAGACTTTGATTTTTTTGAAGCCTTGGACGAGTTTGAAGCTACAGTGCTAGCGGACGATGTTGGTGCACTGGTTTTATGAGACACATTGTCATCCATGGTTTCATCTTCTGGCACTGCGGTGTGGTCAACCGCCCCGCTGGGAGCACAGCTAGGCAGATCAGGCGCGGCAGGTGATTCCCTCGGTCTGTTCTGAGTCTCTTCCCGTGCGGACGTCGTGTCACGCGCGCCGATCGCCCGGATACGGTAGGAGGCGTTCAGTGCGCCGGTGTTGTGCAGCGTCAGCACCCGGGTTCTCTTCTCCGACACCACCAACTTGCCAAAGTCTAGCACCGGGGCATCACACGTCACCTGGATAAACAGAGTTCATGAGTAGCACAGAAATGGCGTTAAACACACACACTTGGCAAAAGGGTGTATACACGCCTGCCCACACAGTGCTCTCGCCAAGCTTCAAAATTCTGGCTAAGAGCGCTCCTTCTTCCACCACTCTCATCAAATTTGGCATGATGCAATTCTTATGAAAATCGTAAAATCAGGGCAGAAACAAGTTGAAAAAGACAGCAGAATTCACCAAGAGGATCTACGTCACACTCAGATACCATCCTCAGTAGCAAGTCGAATCATCAAACAAATAGACAATGCCACAGCCAGTAGGTTATGTCTTCGTTGCGTTGTGTTTTGATCAAGTTTTGATCGTGTTTGATTGTGTTTGATTGTGTTTGATTGTGTTTGATCGTGCATGTCGCAACTGTAGAGCACCATTGATTTAGATACTGAAGCACATTGTGTGATCTATAGGCCCAGAACATCAAATCAGCGCACAGTCGGCTGCCGGGGAGATCGCAGGATAGGCATCATGATTCGAGACATGCACACCCTTGGCTTTTACGTGCCACATTCCACATGACGGCAGCAGGTATTTGCAGTACAATGTTAGCCGCAGTAACTGGCGTACACTCCTTACCACTCTACGCTTGATCCGGCACAGGACTGGAATGGCGAAGGGTCCCGTCTCGGAGTGAAAGAGGATCTCGCCCGTCAGGTCTTTGCTCATCTAGCCAGAACATTCACACAGACAACATACACAAGATCAAGACAACTTATAGCTTTCTAATTCCCTGTACCCATGTCATACGTGGGTACTGCTGCTGTAGAATAATTGGCGCTTGCCTTTCACAGACTGGCAAGCCTCACTAACACTAGTCTGACTTGGAAGGGAAGATTGAATAATATACAAACACATTCCATAACCAAGGGGGGCTCCTGTATGAAGGGCACCAAGAGTACATAGCCTCCGAGAGTGCCCACATAACCACTATCCAGTGTTGCGAGAGCAGTGTTGTTTCACCTCATGTGACATGGTGTGATAGTAAGGTGCGGCCATGGCCTGACCGGCCGGAGCAGGTAATACGGACGCGGAAGTTGCTCTAGAAAGTCCCGTAGCACCATGAGACCACACCGGTCGTCTTTACCTTCCATTGCACGATACGTGCCCTACACAAGTCCCAAAACACAACAAGACACTGACACTGACTAGTAGACAGGCATAAACACTGCAGGGGTATCGGAAGCTAATTTAGGGTGGTACTGTCAGCCATCTGTGGCACACTTTACTTGTTGGGAGGAAGTGGCTCCGCAGATAGTTTTTTGCAGTTTGGAGCCCAAATCAGTGCTTGGGTGCTTGGGGCAAAGAGTGGTATGGCCAATACCGTAGCGACCGTAGCGTGTCCGACGCTCCTGCACTGCTAAAGTTGCTAGACAACTTCCACTGACCTTGGGCTGGAACGTGACCATCCCCGCACACGTTGTGCCAGCTGATATCATACCCGACGGAGAGAACCTTTACACCGATAACCAACAAACAGATTTACTATTAATGATTTGTGTGAAGCCAAAAATTACACCGACACAGCTACCAATCTCTTGTTCGTGTGTAGGGAAATATTGTACACAATACTATCGCTTAGAGTACCCTGCAGTCTGGTGAGAACAGCCTCTTTCCAGCCATGTCCGCGAAGTTATGGAGAGCTGTTGCCTCTTATCACCACTGGAAAGGTTTGGAGAATGAAAAAGTTTCAACTTTTTTTGTGAAATCCAGCTTCTCATCAAGACAAACACTTACGTAGGGCATGGCTGCTTTGCAGAGAGTTTAACATTGCTTCTCATTGTACTTCAATATTGCTAAAACAAACCCTCTGCGAGCCATAATGAAAGTGCCTGGACTGAGAATGACAATGTAAGACATGCCGTGAGAAAGGGTTTTTCCTTACTCCACGGTGACAAAGTGAAATATCTCCGGTGTGACGCTGATCAGCTTGCAGGCATTCCGTGATAGCGATATGTTAGTCAGGACGATTCTCTGTGAATACTCCTTCCCAACATTGAAATCCTGTATACAGATATAAGATCAGGAAACAGTGAAGCTCTGACAAGGATATTTTGACCTTGCCCCACTCGTCACAGAGTAGGCCTAGGTGCTTGACTTCAGTCAATGATACGCAGGGAGAGGTGAGTCCACTTCATATCATGCAAAGTGACCCAGGAGCAAATGTCTCGCCCTGCTCCGTTATTTGGACTACAAACTATCCAGAGCTGTCCAATGATTGTGAAAGGGAGGAAACACTCGGCGTCCATAAGCGTTCACAAATCGCTTGCGCAAGCCAAGAGGAAATCTACGCAGGAATACACTGTCCCCTAGCGTAAAACCACCATCTGAAGGCCAACACAGCATAACTGGTTGTTTCCGACCGCTATTCTATCGCGGCGGTGTATACACATCAATATGGCATGCACTTGAATGCTGAATAGAACAAACCCCAGTACTAGGACTCTGAACCAATTTCCCTGTTCTGCTTGCTCAAACTCAAGAGAACACAACACATTCTGAAGCTCAGCATCTCAAAACAAAAACAAAAAACATGCAGCTGTGAAGAATAGGTGATAACATGTACAGGTTCTATCAAGGGATATACTAATTCTGATCAGCCGGCAGTGATGGTTGTCATATTATACTGAGACTGACCTGGAAAACAAGTCGTTCTGGCTTCCACGCGAATCCAGGGCCCTAATGTAAAAACACGTTGAAGCGCCACGGGAGAACAACATCGAGGGGATTAGACAGAGCTGGGGAGAATGGTCCAGATATGCTGTCCAGAGTCAGGGAAGCACGAAATAATCAAGTGAACTGGCAATGCTCTTGGCACATGTGTCACGTCCCAGAATAAGACAACTGCTGCCTGATAGTCCTGTGATAGCAGGATCTACATAGTGAGCAGCTCTGTGCTGAGCTGTCACGCCCTTTTAGTACAACATGGTTTGGCCAGTGTCTTGTCCCACGTGCTTAGCATGTAGGTTGAGCGACACGCGCTTTCCCACGTAGGTGACATGCCTTCTTGGCATGACACGTTATGGGATCCAAGGCCGGAACCTGGTCAGGTAGGTTCTCGCCTTGTACGTTTCCTAGAAGTTCTTCACTTCCTGGAAATGTGACTCCAGGCTTTGTGCAAAACCACGTCACTACGACGTTCTACAGGTTTCCACGATGCCTCGGTGCTTCGTGCAAAGAGCCAAGACTGATATGACATTGTATAACAAGAGCTAAGTGCAAGACAGGAGACGTGTGCAAGAACCAAAACCGTCACCGCGCAAGAGGTCAGAGTATCACGCAAGCAAGACCAAGAATGCAGCAGAACTTACCATAAGAAGCCGCTGAACTATGGCACGTTGGGTGAGCGGGCTCCCCAACGTGACCCTCATATACTCACATTGTACTCTGACGTGGGTGAGCGGGCTCCCCACGTCCCAATTTGGTCTTTCTTCTCTCGATGTCTTTCTTTCCGTAAGTTCTTCTCGAATGATCACCGTACGTATATTCTGCATTTCTGCTGACTGGCTGCGCACATTCCGGTTTGACTTGTTCTGCTATTTCCTGGAATTACCTCGCCATGATCACGCCATTATATCTCTGAAGCACCCTATAAAAGAAGCTCTCATTCTCTCTTTTACTTCAGTTCTAGTCTAGTCTAGTCTAGTCTAGCAGTCGAGACTCGGTCTCAGCTCTCTGTCTTCGTTTACTTTGAGCTCGGATTTGATACTACTCACAACGTAAAACTAACAGTCTCTGTCTGTTGATCGTGTGGGGTTGAACTTGGACCAAGCCAGCTATATTGGTTGGCCCCTGGGTTGTGTTGGGCTTGTCGTGAGGCCACACGTCTATATTCAGTCGCCGCTCGTAGTGATTTCGGGGTCCGGTCACTCTGAGCCAGGGACGCGACACATGCACAGTCTCAGGCAATGGAACTCCACGCATACTCACAAAGATATTTCCCAGCAATACGTCCCATTCAGATCGTAAAGCGTTGGCGAGAAAATCTTATTTTACTGTGTCAGTATCACACAGTAACACTGCCTGCTGAGCTGGTGCATGCAGCAATTTCAACTCCCTCGATCCACTATGCACCGTTGTCAGGAGCTTACCCGATATATTCTGCCGGCCGCGTGCTGCTCTGTAGGGGTGTACTGCTTCATCTGGTTGAACGCCCTCTGCATCCTGGCGGCGTTGCTTGCTTCGAACTTCTCCATCGTCCTGGTGTGGCCAGTGCCGCTCACACTCTGCCATGGATCCAGTGCAGTAGCACACGAAAAATACAGACTAGACAATTATGACTTGTCAGCGCCTTCTACGTTTGGCCTGGTCACATGGCTCAGTTGGTTAGAGGATTGCTCATGACAAGTAAGGTCCCGGGTTCGAGTCCTAGTGGGTCTGGCATATTTTTTTCTCTTTGCAGCCAGTTCACTTCCCTGACTGATCCTTAGGCATTTACGACTCAGAATTGTATTCCACAAGACTGGGAAATCACTGGCCACATTCTAAAAGCACGTGAGACAGAGCAGCTGCAAACAAGGAAACAAGGAGAATTGATCGTAAGCAGGATTGCCTGTACAGGACACGTTTACATCCACCCGGTATGGGATTGTAGATATGGTCAGCACCTCCTGAGGTTGACAGAAAGACTTTTCTGTTACCAGGCGCGTGCCCCGTATGGGTTCCTGGGTGCCTGGAACCCCCCTTTTTCGCTCAAAATGCAGGATTTTGCTTCATTTTTTGAAAATTTTCCCGGGGGAGGTCCCCCCAAAACCCCTCTTGAAGGGCACCGGCGCACGCGCCTGGTTACCCCCCCCCCCCCCCCAACTTAGCAAGAGTAGTCACTCTGTGTACCGATTTCAGGCAGTATGATTTGGAAAGCAAGAACTCCGCATGATAGGACTGCATGTTGCCAACAGGATACGTATTCCTTGGCTCAAATTACCTCTTCATCAATGTCCACATAGTCACCAACATCTCCTGTCAACTGCCCAGTTGGACTCCCGTCCGTTTCTTGTGTAGATGCCTTTCCAGCACGTTTCCCCGAGCCTTGCTGGCCAGGTTTTCCTCTACCGGTCTGCTTAGCATCCTCGTTGGCAGAGTCACTAGAGCTGGCAAACACACGCATTGTAGACCAACTTGTTTATTTTACCATAATACATAAACCAAGTCATCATCATCACCCCAATCACCACCTGACTATTCATCATTTCTGTCTGATGGTCTCACTCTCAGTAATGGGATGCTCATACCAGACTATGCATTGTTTTCTTTTCTAACAGAAATGTGCGCAGAAACTTGTCCAGCACATGGTATGTTTCCAGTCTGACTTTTCTTCCGTACTGTTGCCCTGTTGACCTCTACGAGGTCTCTTTTGGCAATGCGCTGCACTCGGGGTTTGCCGCTGCGTGCAGATTGTGGGTAGACTGTGTGGGTTGCACTACTGCGTGTCCATACATGCATTATAATCATTTCTCTTCTGAACCTTCTTGGCTTTTCCTGAATTCAGACCACAGTGCTATACTACAAGTAACAATTGGCAACAGAGCAGTGAGAAAGATTCTCTCTATGACCATCTCAAAGCAACAGAGCAGTGAGAAAGCTTCTCTCTATGACCATCTCAAAGCAACAGAGCAGTGAGAAAGATTCTCTCTATGACCATCTCAAAGCAACAGAGCAGTGAGAAAGATTCTCTCTATGACCATCTCAAAGCAACAGAGCAGTGAGAAAGCTTCTCTCTATGACCATCTCAAAGCAACAGAGCAGTGAGAAAGCTTCTCTCTATGACCATCTCAAAGCAACAGAGCAGTGAGAAAGCTTCTCTCTATGACCATCTCAAAGCAACAGAGCAGTGAGAAAGCTTCTCTCTATGACCATCTCAAAGCAACAGAGCAGTGAGAAAGCTTCTTTCTATGACCATCTCAAAGCAACAGAGCAGTGAGAAAGCTTCTCTCTATGACCATCTCAAAGCAACAGAGCAGTGAGAAAGCTTCTCTCTATGACCATCTCAAAGCAACAGAGCAGTGAGAAAGCTTCTCTCTATGGCCATCTCAAAGCAACAGAGCAGTGAGAAAGCTTCTCTCTATGACCATCTCAAAGCAACAGAGCAGTGAGAAAGCTTCTCTCTATGACCATCTCAAAGCAACAGAGCAGTGAGAAAGCTTCTCTCTATGACCATCTCAAAGCAACAGAGCAGTGAGAAAGCTTCTCTCTATGACCATCTCAAAGCAACAGAGCAGTGAGAAAGCTTCTCTCTATGACCATCTCAAAGCAACAGAGCAGTGAGAAAGCTTCTCTCTATGACCATCTCAAAGCAACAGAGCAGTGAGAAAGCTTCTCTCTATGACCATCTCAAAGCAACAGAGCAGTGAGAAAGCTTCTCTCTATGACCATCTCAAAGCAACAGAGCAGTGAGAAAGCTTCTCTCTATGACCATCTCAAAGCAACAGAGCAGTGAGAAAGCTTCTTTCTATGACCATCTCAAAGCAACAGAGCAGTGAGAAAGCTTCTCTCTATGACCATCTCAAAGCAACAGAGCAGTGAGAAAGCTTCTCTCTATGACCATCTCAAAGCAACAGAGCAGTGAGAAAGCTTCTCTCTATGGCCATCTCAAAGCAACAGAGCAGTGAGAAAGCTTCTCTCTATGACCATCTCAAAGCAACAGAGCAGTGAGAAAGATTCTCTCTATGACCATCTCAAAGCAACAGAGCAGTGAGAAAGATTCTCTCTATGACCATCTCGAAGTGAACCTCATCAATGACTGTGTCCTTGCAGTGTGTTCTAATATAGCCACGTAGTGGTACACTACAGCAACTGGCAGTGCTAGCTTACTTGTCTTTGGCGTCATCCACCGAGGTAGCGGTGAGCTTGTCGCTGGAAAAGTAACCAAGCCTTTCACTGGGCAGGAATGTGG